ATAGGAATTTAGTACATAGTTTGCGATTGATTTGACCAAACTTTGTTGCTAAAATAACTTGTAACGCTTTATTACATAAATTAACCATGATATATTCCACAGCAGAAAGAGTTGAATTTATCGAAATATTTTTCGGAAATAAATAATCAGTGCGCTAATAGAACAGAATAAATATTTAATGAGCGACATGAGAACAGTAACGTGCATCGAAAATATGTTCTAGAATTTGAGACTATGAGTGGTGTTAGTCGACGTACTGTCCAACGGATTCTAAATGCCCATAGTTTTCATCGACGATTTTGATCGGCGATTACAATTTTGTGAAGATATGAGTGAACGAATTATTAACGATGAACATTTTCTATTCAACATTTGCTTTTCCGACGAATGTTTCTCTTTCTTAAATGGCGAATGGCGTAGTAAATCGTCATAACTGCCGATATTGGTCCGATCCTAATCCCAGAATTTATCATGAGGTTCATAGACAGCAGCCACAAAAATTAAATGTTTGGGCTGGTATTTTTGGCGATCATTTAGTTGGTCCCTTTTTCTTACCTGGAAATTTGACCGGTGAAATGTATTTGGAATTACTGGAAGACGCCATAGATCCTGCACTAACAGCCATAATTGAAAATCAGAATGATCGCCTGTACATTGCGAATAGGTTGCTGTTCCAACAGGATGGTGCCCCACCACATTACGCATTACGTGCTCGAAAATATTTAGATCAGACGTTCCCAGATCGATGGATTGGTAGAAGAGGTGCCATTGAATGGCCCCCAAGATCGCCAGATTTATCACCTTTGGATTTCTTTATGTGGGGTCATTTAAAAAGCAAAATCTATGCTACTCAGTCAACATCATTAGAAGACCTGCGACAAAGAATTGTGGATGAGTGTCTTCAAATTACACCTCAAATATTGCAAAATGTGCGGCAACGTTTTGAGCAAAATCTTTATTATTGCATGGAGAGTCATGGTGGCCTACTTGCCTAACGGGTCAGTTCATTCTTCATTTTTAAATTACTTTGCTGCCAAATGTATTGATCTCCACTAATGATGATGTATTAGTTTTACTTAAGCTTTAAATCAAGAAATCTTCAAAACTACTGAGCTGAAGTACATTGATTTTATATCATTATAAAGGGAATTGAAAGACCTTTAAAATGAGGTATCACTCGATCCCCCGTTCCGTTTAAGATTTTAGGGGTGGTGTCACCCCCGCTTAGGGGGCTGCACGCGCTAACGTGATTTTTTGCCAAACTTGTGTCCCTCTGGAAAACAAAATCGACTGAGCTGCCAGTAAATCCGTCTATTTCGTTTGCGATGTGCCACCCTGTATATACTCAGTGTTTACACCCAGCAAAATAATTTTTTTTTTTCGGCAACGTAATGACTATATTTATAGTATGCTGTGGCAACAATGTCAACGTTTCATCTTTGTTTTTGTTTACCTTTTTTAAAATGGTATCGCTTAGTTTTTGTGAAGAAAGCAGTTTCTGAGTGCTGAGTAGTACAGATATTTTCAGCTATTGTCCTTTCATTTACTAGTATTGACAACAAAATGCTTCGAGTTAGAAGACGTCCATGTTAGCAAGCTTGACAGGGGTAGAGTTATTGCCTATCAGGATGTTGGTTTGTCCTATCGCGAAATTGGTCGCCGTGTTAATTGTACTGCGATGGCGGTAACGCGTGTATGTCGTGTGTAGATTGAAGAAGGTAGAGGAACACGAAGAAGACCAACTGGTCCACCGAGGAATACATCGAGCGTCAAGGTAGGCGCTTCAGGCAACTAGCCCCACCAGACTGTTTTGCTTCTACGCGTCAGATCGCTGACCAATAGTTTGGAGAAGAAGGTAGACCTGTTACTATGCGTCTGAGCCTTTCGACTGTTTTCATGTGCTTCCTCTGACTACGGACCACTGTCGTAAAAGTTTGAACTGGAGCAGAAAATGCTAACATTGGGAGGCAGAATGGTATAATGTCATCTTCAACGACGAATCGTGATTCTGTCTAGGTACGCGCGATTGTCGTAGAAGGGTAAGACGTCGCCGTGGAGAACGGCGTGATATTGGATTTGCTGTTGAGAGGCATGTACGTATACACAGGACTGTTGGAAAAATTGTCCATCATACCCAGGACCTGTACTATTCAGATTTGATGGAAAATCTCAACGGTTTTGGTATATTTAGTTGGATTACCATAAAGAGAGGATTAAGTATTCCCTTTGGTAATGGTCAACATATGTATACAAATAAACTGTCTCAAGCTATGATTACCTTCGAAATCAAATCTATATATGTATATAAAAATGAATCCCTATTTAGCGTAGTCACGCCATAACTTGTAAACGACTTTACCGATTTCATTCATCTTTTTTTTTAAGTTTCCTTATGCTGTAGAGAAGGTTCTTACGGAAAGAAAAATGAAGAAAATTGATAATGATTATTTAAGCTACGCGCGTTTGATAGTTTGCTTGAGCATGGAGCGCGCACAGCAGATGAAATATCTCAATTATCAAAAGAGACAAGCACTTCTCTCTGCCATCTTTATTCCAACGGCTATTGACAGTTAGCTATGTGAGAGAAAATTGCTTATGAAAACATGGCGCTTTTGTTTTTGGACTTTAATTGACTTTCACTACTCTATCATTTTGAACTTGACAGCTCGCACGTCACAAATTTATATCATCGCTTAACAGTGTTTATCGATAAAAAAATATTGCTTTATTTAATTAATAGTGCACCGTCCATTCGATTAGAGCTCCTATCCAGTTATCAGTTTGTTCAGTGAGTTTTTTGAGAAGTATTTGTTCAAAAATAATTAAAAAGGGTGGAAGTTAGTTCACCGTAATCACGCCTTACATTAAAATTATGATTCTTTAAAATGCTACCAATTAGACGTACCAACCTGGGTCGTAGAACTGGCAATGCTACAAGTCAAAGATATATACGAAGAAGTCAAACTGACGAGCAGCGAGAAGCAAGAAATGAAGTTGAACGGATCGAAGGACTGAAATTCAACAACGTAGAAGTGTCGCATTTAATCCCAATCGAGTTGCATGCAATTCTGACGTGGAAATCGATTACAGTTCACAACAAATCGTTGCTATTGGACCAATGAATATTGTGAGTCCGCATTGTAAGGCTTTCAAGTTTAAAAATTAAGCCCCTGGATTATGTGGAAAGATCAAATTGACTCCATTGGTATCTACCACCACGAGAGCCACTACATTGATTGGTTTCCAGAAATGGGCCATTTTTTGACTCATATCCAGCAATACAATAATTGCTTTCAAATGACGTCATTTGGTGCAACAAAATTCATTCCACATCATTTTATGACTACTTTCAAGGTAAGTTGTCGACGGGGGAATGACAGAGCTGCCAACGAATTTTGCTAGCCACATGACGGTACAAACACTTCGCTATACAATTACACATATTCCATATATTTACGTTTTTATTATTCATTATTCATCCCAGTTCATAGCTAAGACAGTTCAATGTCTGTCAGGTCAGCTAGTTCCTTTAATAAAAGTTTCATGGAACACCAAAATGAAAAAAATATGCTCAAACATAACATTCACACCTGTTTATAACTAACAGTATACTTTATCCTTTTCTATCACCAGTTTTGCGCATTTATGGTAGGATATATCTTGTAGGTGACGTTGTGAATTTTATGCATGCTTACGTATTGTTAATTTTTGCTGTTATTTTATATTGGCGTGGTCTGGAAAAAGTAATTTTACGGTTAGTTGCAGATCATTATTCTATATTCTTTGTAGCTTTTTGTGTGTCTAATTGACAAGCGCTCAAAACAAATTGCCCGTTAAAGCACGTGTCGAGGATAAGCCTGCGGAAACTGTAATTGAAGGATTTACATACGTTTATTTTTATTGTACATACAGTGCTTTTCAGTAATGGGGAGGGGGGGGGGGTTGTTCCTCCTCATTTTTACGGACGGGTCCAGTTAACAACTTTGGGAATGATGAAAATGATGCTTAAATTAAATGCTATGTTGTAACATAAAAATAATTGGAAATTGTAAGGCTCCACAATGTTACATAATGATCCTTATTTTGTATCTCCCTAGTGCATACTTTATAACTTTGTTGAACGTTTTTGTACAATAAATCGCTTATAACTCGACAACGAATTTGTAAAACTTTGTAGTATATTATATTTCTAAGGTAAGTAGAATGTTTTGCATTTTACCACATATTCGGATGGACGCTTCCAGGAAAAGTAGACATACTATAACATTTTGAGGATTAGTTAATGAGCTACAACTGTCTCAATGCATGCACACACAACTTGGACAGCTTGACAGCTCGGGTATTAGAACGAGTGATTTTAAAAAAAGTAAACTGAGTCCACTACACTACTATTTATTTTATAGAATAAAGACATTTGTGATATTTCAGATTTTTGTGAAGTTCAGGTATTTGCATGCATCTCAGATGAAAGTTTAGACACTGCTTTAAAAATGCAATGGAAGATATTCCAATTAAAAAATGCATTATCGAGGCGCCAAAAAGGAATTGTAGATGCTAGCGCCATCTATGAGGTAGTAGCGAACCGCTCTAACACTTTTATTTCATTTGGTGTTCTGCTAGTGTCTCATAGACAGCATTTTTTGTGGGCCAGAATACAGCATTTGGTTAGATACTTTCAGGTAGGTACATGCTAAAACAGGTGATTGTAATTCATACGAACATCACAGGTATCATATTCTGGCTGACTATCTCGCACTGTGAGGCTAAACAGCAAGCACGATATCAGATCGTTGCAATAAAGGCACAATCACAATACAAACTGTAATAAATCTGACACATTACGTGTGTCACATCTCCCCCAGCACAATAAAATCATCCAACTAAAAAACCGTTCGCCGTTGGACCACGTGGCTTCTTTGAGCGACACGTGCCGACAGAATCGTGCAGCCTAGGACCAGTCACCACCTTTTACAAGGATGTATCACAAATCTCTCACTCACCTTCACTACTCCCACGCTCTGAATTTGCACTCTTACTGCGTCATTAACTACATAATATACTTAATTATGTAATATCTGCAACCAATGGCAATGTTGTCACTTCAGTAATAGATAGAGGTTTTAAAGATTGCCGAGAATGCTTCTAAACAGGGATGTGACAGTGAGTAAAGAAAATCAATCAATGAGAAACCGATTAGTCGCCAAACTAAATGAATATATCAGAACACGAAATAAATAAGATGACGAGTATTAAACTTAAAATTAGATATTCTTTCCAAAACTATGATTATATGACTCTTTCTTATGGTGACAGCGGTCGCGTTGGATTTGCAGTGCAATACAGAACTAAAAATTTGTATCAAATATCAGATCAATCAGTCAGCAGTAAGGAGGTAAAATTTAAATCAACAAATTTGATGCACACTAGGCAACTTAAATGAGATGTTAACTTTCAGCGCGTAATACTTCACGACTTAGTGTAGTAATAAAAGAAGTACGTTAGATTGAGGTTCAAAAGTGTTCTATCCTAAAATTGCTTATTTGATTAATCGTCGGTCTATTTGTCATGGACGCGAGTTATCTAGACAGCTTGGCCTTAAGAGGATATAATAATAATAGTAATAATAATAATAATAATAATAACAGATGAACAAAAGACGATCAAGTGGCAGCACAAACAGAATACAAACGAAGACATTGACGAAGTCTGCAAAATTATCCACCAACAGCTTGCTCTCAAGTACGGCCTAATTGGAGAGAAAAAGAAGGTAGTACCAATATCAACCTGTAACCATACTAGAGCTCACAGAATACGACATGTACTGGGACAGAAGCATTCTCACAGACAAAAGACTAGCTCATACTAGACCAGATATCACCTTATGGAAGAAAAAGGAAGGGGACGTCCTGCTCATCGACATAACGGTAACTAATGATTAATGATACTAACATGGGTAAAACATTTGCAGAGAAGATCAATAAATATATCGACCTTAGCTCTGCATTAAAAGACCTCTAGAGAGTGGGTATTGCGTATCTTGAAAAGTGACATTATGTCAGTTTTTTTTTTTGACATAATATTGCTTTTTGTGACATTATGTCGGTTTTTCTACAAGATGTTAACTTAGCACTAGCTGGTGGACACTTGTCGTGAACTCGTTTTGTAGTTGTACGTGTTGCCTAAACGTCATTATGCTTCAGTTATCCATGTTTGGCTTGGATGTGATGTGAAATCTACTTCAGAGATGGCATTATTAGAGGTGTGAGCTGTAAGTTGTATACTATAGCTAGAAGGAAACGGCAATGCATAGGTGCATAGTCAGGATTTGTGTGCTAATAATATGTGTTGATGATAATTCCATTGGTTTCTTGTCTCAAATACACTTACTTGAGAGTCAAAGCTAGACATTAGTGGCGCATCCAATTTTTTTTACTTATTCTGGAAACTAGATATGCAAATTTGCTGTATTTCAAAAATAAGAGAGATAAGAAAAGAAAATTTTTGGTTGCTGAAAGAATAGGAAAGAAAATATGCTACAGACAGGAGTATTTATGAAAGTGGAAAGGTTATTACATTATTTTTATTTCCAGTCATTTAATCTTTATTATGTCAATAGAAAATACAAATCAGCGCCTAGATGTGAGGCAGTGCGATATTTTTTTATGTGTGATGCGTCATTCCTGAGTTTTTTGTGATATGACCTAAATGCCCACATGGCGCGCGGCGGCGATTTCCCGTAGTGCCCTCAAGGTTTTTGAAAACACAAAAAAGGGGAAAAATTATAATTCATAACTTCTAACACAATCTGTTCAGAACGGACAACATATAAATGACCCATCGGGCACAGCTAATAGATATACTTCATTAGCAGAATATTCATAATAATCTTCTCACACAGCAAATATCCCTGACCTTATTACACATGCAGACCAATACTCATAATCGTCCAGATACGATCTTGCTATTCAGCCAACTGTCTTTCTTTCACATCTCAGAGATAAATACTACAGACTACTCGGCTCCACACAATATACTTGCTTTCTGCAACCAACAATGCGTGTTGCTGAGTCATTCCTCCAGAGGTGGACGCTCACAACGATCATAGCGAGCAAACGTGGAATGAACTATTTGCACCTTAAAAACTACCTAGTCTTTAAGATGACATTTTATTGTTTTTTTTTGACGTTTTATAGGTTTCTTTCATAATAGATGTGCTGATAGTCATATCCCATATGGGGTTTGGTACCACGGAACTCTTTAAATCCCTGGAAGAGCTAAAACTGGAACTTTATATTTACCAACAAATGCAGAAAGATGCAGAAAGCAGTAATGCTGAACACATACCATATAGCACGTAGATTTCTCTACTCAGAATAAATACCACCTTCCAGAAATGGTATCGTCCCTTTGGTGAAGATATTCTCTTGACATCATTCAACCAAAGTATATCAGCATGAAGAAGTTGTGGAAAAGTGAATAATAATAATAATAATAACAATAATGTTTATTTATAAAATACAATTAGTCTGGGACAAAACAAATAAACATAGAGTGCCCGCGCAAGGCAGCTGCATGCGCGCCGGTATTTACCCACACGAAACATTGTCGTTATCATCGTCATACGAATATATGCATGTAAATTTTTCTTGTATGACACAATTATATAAATTTATCATTTTAAATAAACTGAATTAACCTAAAGTTTAATTATTTAATTATTCTTTCATTAATACCTAGATAAGGTTGCTCTTGTATCCACAGTTTTATACGTTTATTGAATGTATAGTAACTGATGTCTACATTTATCAGGCAGAAGATTACAGAGTCGTGGGCCTATATTTTCAAATGATCTTTCTTATTCATCCTTCGGGCCTGGACTAATAGTATTTTACACATTGTCTCATGCTTAAGTAGTGGCCTCAACAGCGTGTGTTTGTATTTACAAATAAATAATAGCAAGTTTATACAATAATAAAATTGTCCGATACTACAATCAAGCATCCTGGTACACTTTTCGGTTGGGTAAAAAATGTTGACACCTAAATAATTTTCAAGATCCATTTTTGTACATTTCTCTTCATTCTCTCAATACCGTACTCCCACAATCCAAGAAGGCGGTAACTTAGCAGTGATTGGTCTAATGCATATTATATTGAAATCAATTGTTTTGGAGATAAAAAAGCTCTGAAGTACTTGATTCTTGGTATTAGCGATCTTAATTTAGGTATTTGTTTATTTATTTCTTATGACCCTTTGACGTGAAAAAGCTGAACTCCATTCTGCTTAGGATAATAGTAGCGTTTTATAAATATTTTATGGCAGCTTGTAACAGTCTAAGAGCAAACGTCAAAATTAGTACTGATATGAAATGTTAAAATCTAGTAAGGTCTTACGTATTTTGATGCTAAAAAGCAAACTCGGCAAGTTTGCTGTTTACCATTAAACTACGTAAGATGTGACTAGTTTGTTTATCGAATCACGAAGTCTCTTTTCTTAATATAACTACTCTTTGTGAAGAATAGCGGCAAATATAATTGGTAGCATAAATATTGATCGGCCGTTTGCCGCTCTTATGCAAATGTGTCAATTTCGGTTTCAGAGTCGACCATAAGCCGCGGCACGTGCGTCATCTGCAATTTACAGCGGCGATTCCAGCAAATGCAAAAACGACGTCGATGTTAGGCCACTGACGAGACGGTTGGCCACGTGTCGCCCCAGGAAGCCACGTGGATACAGGCCGTCAGATATTTTTTTAGCTGGATGATTTTATTAAGTACCGCGAGAAATATTGCATCCTAAAATTTTTATGGATACTGCAACGTCCCCTTTTCATTCACTCTCTGTGGTTACGGTAAGGCTCAATGAATTTGAATGCAAGTTGACAGCAATTAGCAATTTGTTTGCAGTGTATGTTTCCTTGTGTTAATGTGATGAAGAATAGAAATCGCGTATTGAGCCACCTCTTTTTTTAAAAAAATAGCAGACTTTGTATTTAATAATAATAGACGTCTTTATTTATCCACAATTACATTGTAGTATAGCCAAATGTCAGACTTATATGGCGAAGTTTAGCATGCTGCTACTCTTACACTTAACCATATAGTCTCTAGCAGATGTTCAAAAGAATACACTATCCACAAACAGATTTGGTTCATTACATCGAAAGTAAAATTTAAAAAAAGAGAAAAAGGCATATTTTCCAAACCTAAATGCACCAAAAAATTATTAATCTGAATTAAAGATGGAATAAAAAAGAAGTGAGTGATTACGTAAATTATATGTTTGGAGGGTTGAGTAATAATGTTTTAACTTTTTGTCGAAAGACAGGTAATGAAAATTCTTTATATACTTTAGGAAGGTCATTATAAATAATAGCAACATTGTAAGAAAAACTGAGTTTAAAAAGTGTAGACGTATGCAGGGGTACTCTAATATTATTTTCTCGGAGAGTTCTACAGTGAACATCATTATTACATGAAATTTTTTCCTTCAAGTAATAAGGTTTAGACGTGAGCAGCAATTTGTAAACAAAAACTGAATAGTGATACTTGACCATGTCATTAATTTTCAACCAGTTTAGAACGTGATAGTTCACTGATACATGATCAAATTTACGTAAGCCAAAAATGAATCGTATACAATTGTTTTGAATAACTTGAATAACGTTATTTAAGTACACAGGGTCACTGGTAATTCGCCGTACTTCATCCCAGGGCGTGACAGGGGGCCTAAAATGTAACAAACTTAATTCAATTAGGCGAAAATCGATAGTTTTAAAGGTTATTCACCTTTTGTAGTTTTTTAACAACTTTTAACAAATTGGAAAACTTCGGTCTAAATAATAAAACAAAAGTATGTAAGATCTTGGTGAGACTTCTATTGATTGTTATAGTTTTTAATCGAATTAAGTAGATATAATCAAAGAAAGGTTCAGAAATACTATACAAAATGAAATAAAACTTGTTCTAAAAATAGTCTGCAGTAAAATATTTCCCATTTAGAAGCACTATTAGAGAAAACTAACAATTTAATTCCAATTTATGATCA